GAGTGAGATTTCAGATCATTTGGTTTCATGTCCTGCCTTACAAATACAATATGCTCATTCTTCTTTTAAAAACATTACCAAAAAAAATATGCTACTGAAACAATTCATAATGGATTTAATTAAAAAAAAATTTGGATGATAACACTTTTAAAAGAAAAAATCAGAGTAAGAGCTTTTTCAGTTTCATATAATTGCAATTAAGCAACTGTTTCTACACCATCACCTTCATATAACTAATATCACTCACTGGTACAGTTACAACCCTGCTAAATATAGGGAAAAGGAGGAAGCCAAAAGGTACAATGCAATGCATGTGGATATCTCATTTCAGGACATTTTGTTAGAAAAGATGCACTAGGTCCACACTCGATCGGCTTCTGGATAGTATGCAACTGAGTTGACACATACTCCAAGCTACTACTACTACTACTACAAGCTACTAAGTGGTAACTTGAAGAAAATAGCTCACAGAAGGTCCTCTCAATCTCACACAACGTTTCTTCATTGTTAGTGATGTAGTGGCTAGCCTTAAAACCACCAAAAAAGTCCACATGTTGCAAGAACAGCATTATACTGCTAATTGCCTATCTATTGTTTGCCTAATCTAACATGCCTAATTTGCCTATCTATTTTGCCTGTTAGGCAAACAACATTAAGTGGAGGTAAGGTCTACAGATTAATTAGTTTCCAGGCTACACATGTATCAGTTTCTAGCCTTATGAATGATCATATTAATTGTGAACCCTTAAAAGAGTAGGTGTGTGGGTTCACACCTTATGGACCAAATTCATCAGACAGAAGCCTACACTTATATGACTATCTATGCATACTATTTCTAATGTCAGCTTTCAAAGAGTCTTATAAAATGTTAAGGAGATTCAAAAAAGACATCAAAGAAATAATGAATATATCTAGAATAGAAAGAGCACAAATTCATATAAATTAAAGGATGTAACAGACTCTCCCTACTTCCAACCTGACACTATACTGTTGGAGAGAAATTGCCAATATGATATTGGGAGATATTTTTAAAGAAAATTATAAGTCCCCCGCCTCCCCAGCCTCTCCCCATGCCAATATTTCACTACAGACAGCATGTATTTATTTCACCATAGTAGAGCTCTTGGAGTGAAGCAATGTTATGTTGTACTCATATGGGATTCTTTACAATCCAAGCTGAATAACAAGCTGACACTCAGTCTTTGATAGAGACTTATAGTATCTTTTCATGGTAATGAATAATATCTTCACCTTCTACAAACAGAAAAATAAGCTCAAAAATAAGTGACTCACCTAAAGCTAAGAAAATTCATAAAAGAACTGAGCAGATACTTCTAGTAAGGTATACTAGAAATTAATAAACCTACATATCCAGCCTTATAAGAGTCTTATCTATATATCAATTTGTTATACTCAGGCTTCAGATTATAGTATACTTGAGGAATAAGATTATCTGTGCATCACTAAATGCTACGTCGCCAGATTAACTAATAACTGAATAACTAATGGCAGACAACAAAGGACAGGAGTGTCCACAACTGTTAAGCCAACTAAATTTAACATATAACAGGGAAAGATTCTCCCTGCTATGAAATACAGTCCTAATCTGATAAAAGTACTTAATTTTGAAATTAAAATGGGAAAATAATCTTATCTGTGTAGTGTAGTAAAAACGGCACGGTGAAATACTAGAGCCAATTGTCACTGGTGGAATATCATAAGCTGTACTGATTATGATGCCGATTTTTTCATTACAGAGCTATGAAGTTCGGACATTTGCTTAAAATGTTTCTGCAAACAGCAAGAAGTGTTGGATCTAGAAAAGAACAAGAATAAACATTAACAGTATTTGAACTACAGATACATATACAAGTTTGAATTTCCTATGGGAAATTTCAGCTTCACACACTGCAAAAAATTTCATACTAGTTTATAACAAGTATTTTCTAAGATATCAGGACAAAGCAAAACATGAATAAAATCTCACATGATACCTGCTATGTCTTAATTAGTTAAATAAAATCAGAATGAAACAAAGCTCATGAAACTTGCATAGGCATTTTAAAAGTACCTAGATGTGACAAGGATTGAAAATGAAGTCTCCATTGCTGTTCTGCTCTCTGCTGTGAGCAAGTATACCCCCCCCACTTCCTATTTTCTCTGTTACCTTGAGATTAGAGCTATGGATCCCGTATTCAAGAAAGCCTCTGCAAGACAGGAGTGATAGAACAACTGAAACTACACAGGGCATGCTGCAAACAAAATCCACCTATAACTCCTGCTGGCAGAACAGTTTCTGTACGTGCTCTTTACTCAGTGCTATGCCTAAAACCACACTCAAATGAACAATGTATAAACAGATATATAATTACTATAGCAGTAGAAACTACACTCAGGCTATAAAACAAATTTAATCCACATACATATATATCACTTGAATCACTTGAAAGTGAATTTATTGGGGAAAAAAAAAAAGATTATCTTTTGCTTTTTTAATATTGTATTTATAACTCCTCTGCTGCATATTTTAGTTTTAAAAATGCCATATATCTTATTTAAGTATTGTCCAATATTTATTCTTAATTCTTATGAGTTATTTGTAAAAATTAAAAGTAAAAAAAATATATATTCACTTGCTTCTTAAACACTTAAAGCACTTACATATACACAAAGATACATTCAAACCTGATAAGATAAAATGTTTTCTTTTTATTATTATTATTCAGAAAGAATTATCTATGAGGAGTCTGAGAAGCAGATTGTGCGGGATAGAAAGGTGTAAAACAAATTATAACACAACAATACTTTACTTGTCAAAGTATTTTATTTTTTTTTTTTTTACTTTGCTTTGCAAAGAAACCAAGTTAGTTGCAGATGACACCAAGTTAGGTGTGTGTGTCGATCTGCTCGAGGGCAGGAAGGCTCTGCAGGAGGATCTGGATAGGCTGGACCGATGGGATGAGGTCAGCTGTATGAAGTTCAACAAGGCCAAGTGCCGGGTCCTGCACCTGGGACGCAATAACCCCAAGCAGAGCTACAGGCTGGGAGATGAGTGGTTGGAAAGCTGCCTGGCACAGAAGGACCTGGGAATATTGGTGGATAGTTGGCTGAATATGAGCCAGCAGTGTGCTCAGGTGGCCAAGAAGGCCAACAGCATCCTGGCTTGTATAAGAAGCAGTGTGGCCAGCAGGGCTAGGGAAGTGACCTGCACTCGGCTCTGGTGAGGCTGCACCTCGAGTACTGTGTTCAGTTTTGGGCCCCTCGCTACAAGAAGGATATCAAGGCACTCAGAAGAGTCCAGAGAAGGGCGATGAAGCTGGTGAGGGGCCTGGAGAACAAGTCCTACGAGGAGCGGCTGAGGGAGCTGGACTTGTTCAGCCTGGAGAAGAGGAGGCTCAGGGGCCACCTTATTGCTCTCTACAGGTACCTTAAAGCAGGCTGTAGTGAGGTGGGGGTTGGTCTGTTCTCCCACGTGCCTGGTGACAGGATGAGAGGGAATGGGCTAAAGTTGCGCCATGGGTGTTTTAGGTTGGATATTAGGAAGAACTTCTTTACTGAAAGGGTTGTTAGACATTGGAACGGGCTGCCCAGGGAAGTGGTGGAGTCACCATCCCTGGAGGTCTTTAAAAGACGTTTAGATGTAGAGCTTAGTGATATGGTTTACTGGAGGACTTGTTAAGTGTTAGGTCAGAGCTTGGACTCAATGATCTTGAGGTCTCTTCCAACGTAGACAATTCTGTGATTCTGTGATTCTTTGACTATGTCAATCTGCCTGCCCCGTTGGGCACATTTGAATAAACTTTCCAGTTTGCCTTTGCATGTGTAGCTCTGCACTTCTATTTTGTATATTGTTTTCCTCTAAATTTCTATTTTTCTATATTGTTTTCATGTCTTGAAAATCCATTACCCCATTGAAATCCCATTGAGAAATTTATTGCATTTTAAACCAAAAAAATACAGTAAGCTTATACAAAAATAAAATCTGATCACTATTGCACAACTAAAGTTTAAAACTACTGCAAATATGATTGTAAGCCTGTGTACGCAGAAGGTGGATTAAGGCTCTAAAAATGATGCATGATTTGCAACACAAAAACAGTGCACAAATGCACTATGAGAGGTGGAATAGTGCACGGATCTAAGCTTTCAGTCTGCACTAATTTGTTCATCAGAAATTCATCTTTAATAACTTGTGTTCTTTCTATACCCGAATGGCATACCTTTAATCATCTGTCATACATTATAGTAATAAATACTAAATTTTTGAATTGGCAAAGTAAGCTTTACAGGTAATAAATTAGCTATGCAGGATTTAAGGATAATTTATTTGGCAATCTTCTCTGTTCTGGCATTATTTTCTGAAGTATAGTGTTTTTTACTTCTGAAAATATTTAAGTAGAGTCAAAAAGACAAACATAACAAAAATATATGACACTTTTACCAAAGCTGATATACCAGGGAACTAGCCTACTACAGAGCTCTCAAATAAATACACATGGCTTCTCTAGAAGAAATCTAAATTCTTCATTCTTTTAAATCTGGCTCAACTGAAGAAGGAGAACATCCTCATAAGTAACAGCCAGAGAAAGGAAGCCAAAATAATAGTTTTGTTTTGATTGCTAAATAGTTTTTGGGTTTTTTTTGTTTTTTGTTTTTTTTTAATAAATAAATTTCAACATAGTGCAAATTACAGCTTTTGAAATTACAATGACCTCACACAGCCAGAAAGGTGTAGCACTGCTGAAATTTCATAGGTATAAGCCAGAAGAAGAATGTTCATAATATGTACGGCAAATATCCTCATAATAATCACCTTTAATACAGAAAAACCTATCTGAGGGCAGTAATTATAACAAGCCTACTAAGATCAGTTTTACCATGCTAGAATATAGTCTTTTTTTTTTCCTAGAAATAACAATAAAACAGATGATACCAGTGCACTGCTGTAATTTCAATATCTACAAAAGACAAAAAGTAGACTAAAAATCAGAAAAGCTCACCACTTCTTCATGCCTGCATTTTCTCACATTAATTCCATTAATCTGTTATTAAAAAAATAAAGAGAAGACTTACTCTACATTTCATAAGTATAGATTTCATTTCACTTTTCTAGAAAAATATAAATAAAGGAATTTGTCATTTTACTCACCTGCAGAATTGCATCTCCTATAAAGAGCAAACCTGAAAGTTCCGCTGAAAACAAAAAGCATATTTTTCATTTGTTTTGCACAAAACATCCCATATTTCTTGTACTTGTATTCCTACTTCATTTAATGTTTTTCCATATTCTTTAGAAAACAAAACAAAAAACTTCTAAATAAATTGTTTGGATTTTTTTTTTAATCGCCAAACACCAGCATAGCAGTGTTACAATGAAGGAGTCTACACATCTCAAGTACCAAGACTCTGAAACATCCTCTGTCAGTCTCTAGCATCTTTTGGGCCATTAAGGTGAGGTATGGCATTTTTTTCTGAACAGAGAATGACTGTGGAACTAGGTCCTATTTCCCTGAGAGAGATTATTTCTTATTAGTGCTGAGGAAAAAACAACATAGAGACTCCAGACCTACTTATGAAGGACAACTTTTAATTTGCAAGGTTTTACCAAAGAATCTTTAGATCCTACATCTTTGATTATGAATACTAACAGGAAATATGAAATTATTTATCTATAGCATTCCAAAACATCACAGAAGATGCTGTCTAGAAAGTCTGAAACTTGATTTTCTAAATCTAACTAATTGATCTAATTTTAACTTCTTTACATGAGTTGTAAGACTGGCATCAATATCCATATAAATTATGATACTCAATATGTTTGAAGAACTGGCTTTATTAGGCTAGATGTACAAAGAATGCTTCAATTATAGGAGGATAAAAAATATGTTTGTTTGTTTGTTTGTTTTTTGTTTTGCTTTTAAAATAAATGCATACAATATTCTGATTTAGACACAGGACATATATATTGAACATTTTCACATGACCTAAGCACTCTATGTATAATGATGGTTTTAAGAAATGCATCAGTTGGCATATTTTTGGTTAGAGGTCCAAAAAAAAACACAACTGGAAAGCCACCGGGAAGAGGGCAGAAGTAAGCCTCCAAAGCTTTGAGTTACAGGCTCTGGGTTAAACACATTTTCTGTATCCAAGATGCCTAGCACAGACACATGGCATGACACTTGCATAGTCTTCTCATTCTACATAAGAGATGTCCCTCATGACTAGCTCTCTTAAAATCAGCAGTATTTTTATATAAAACAATAATGGAGTTTATAACTCAACTGTGTAGCGAGGTTAGAAATACTTCATCAGTTATTATAGCAAAAAAAAATAATAACAATAATAAAAGAAAACAGGTTGCACATTTGTGTGTTCAATTAAACTTCGGTCTATGTTTCTTATTTTTCCTGCAGTGCTTAATAGCTTTTTAATAGCTACTATAAGCAATGTATGCCATGTTATTAGGTATTACACACTTGTGACTCCATTTTTTTCGATATAAATATAACTTTTTAAGGTTAACCTAATTACTTTCCCTAGCAACTAATTCCATGCTACTCTGTAGCCTCCTTACATACAACTTCTTGGTTTCAGGGTCAAATTTCAATTCCCAATATTCCAAGATTCCCCTGTACCTTTCTTTATCTGCAGCATGTGGGTAAATATGACATTTTTTCTTATACTCAAGCTTTCTAATTGAGCGGAGGAAGCATTCCAGAATTATTGCATTACAGATGGAGGAAAATGCTTCCAAGTTTAAGTTTCTGATCTTACACATATGAACACAAATATACAAAAGCATAGCAGAGAAAATACATTCTAGAATTACTGACTCACAACCTTCATCTCATCACAGAGCACATCACGAGCATTCTTACAACTAGCCATTTTCCTAGTACATACCGTATCATTCTAACAATTTAAAAACAGCACAGTTAAATAATAAGCATGGTTAAGACCTTAATGCAGTACCAGTTTTGTTGTGTATCAGTTGCTGCAGAGGTTTACATAGCACAGCATCTAATGTTGAAATAACATAGGGTATTATCAAGGTTCTGCCACTACCCACTCCCATCTGGGTACTACCCTACTACTCAGTATAAAGAAACAGATGTTCTCTTTTTGTATTCACATGCTGTAAAGGCCAAACTTTTGATCTGCTACTGCTTTCCAGAAATAACAATTCAGAAATATAAGACAGAACTAAATATTTCATTACTTAAATTTGTTAAATATTTTCATTCCCTAAATGGCTCCCTATTTTTTTCCCTTAAATTTATGCTTTACAAGAACTTTTAAGAAATAATTGTTTGAAGACAGTGTTAAAAACAAACAAACAAACAAAAAACACTATTCCAAATATAAGTTTTGTATGTTTACATAAAATAGTTCTAAATAATAGAGAGATCATGATGTCATGAAGAGAGAAATAGAACATTAATAATATCTATTTAACACTTCCTGAGGAATCTCAGGACTTGAGGCACCTTGCTTTTAGGAGCATATCAAAACATAGTGTAATAATCTGACACTCACCTCTTTGTTCTTTGGAAATCTTAGAAATGACCACTGGGATATTATGTTCTGCTCCACCCTGAAGATATAATAAATGGAAATATCATGAGTTACTGCAAATATTTTTGCTTAAAATTATATTTTACCCTTTCTGTAAGTGCAGTTTTAAGAGAGACCGAGAAAACAATTCTGATCCTGTATTTTCCTCCTTTTTCTCCATTTCTTCATTCTAATCAAGAGTTGATTGGGATTAATTCCTTATTGCCTCACCTATAGAAGCTGTCAGTTGCTATTATTACCTCAGGAAGTGAATTGAATGTTGTTCAAAATTCTACAAGACTTGAAGAAGGACATTAGTTTCTGCAGAGTCCAGGTAGTTTAATGTATGAAACTGTGTCCTACAAAGGCAGAATGGCCATAACACCACAATGGAAACCATGCTGTGACCACTCTGTTTTCGCGCTGGTAAGAAACAGGTAAACAAAAACCCAAGAAAAGCAAGTTTGGGCTTTCGTCTCAAAAGCAGTCTTTATTTGTTTCCGTTTCTGTCACACATGCACAAAGAGTGAGAAAAGCTGTGGGATAACTAACAAGAGACAGAAAAGAAAACATTAAGAAATGGAACAGTAGGTGTTCAATAAATGTGGGAAAATAAAGGAAAGCTGGATGATAATTCAACAGTTCAACAGCAATTCAATGCTGTTGTTTCATTCAATTTATCCTCATGGGACTGGAAGCATTCATGATGCTTAAAGTATTAAAAGGAAACCTTAAATAAAAAGGACACTAAGGACGAAAAAAAAAAAAAAAAAAAAAAAGCATATAACAGAGCCACAACTATTTTTCTTCCTCTGAACACAGCATCAAAGTGCCAGCCTGCATGTAACCTGTACAAATTCAGATCATTGGAAATGACAGCCTGTCACACTGTCATTTTGCCTAAGAATCCTAGTTAAATGCTTACTCTTCTCTTTAGCAGACAAGTTTTTCTTTGGAAACTGGCCTTCTTAGGTCCTGGCACCCAGTTTCATTGTGTGGAATGGACTGACCTGTATATTTTGATGGTCTAAGGATTAGTACATATCCCTTTCTTCGTTCAGTAACCAGTTGTTTGAAACTGAACAGATGTCTGCGCTCAACAGCTATTTCTGTCATGGAACAGAGAAGAAAACCATAGAAAACATGTTTCTGTGGCTCTCTCTGTGTATGGATAGACCAGTAAAGTCTTTCAATTTTAAATCTGAGCAAAGGAAGAACGTTTCATCACTGCCTCTGCATATGCTTCCTAGATGAATGCAAGGAAATAAGCTGAATTTCCCATAGGATTAAGTTCCATCTGGTAGCAACAATCAATTGCAAACACAGAACATATTGATATTTCTTGCATGGATTGAGTGTTCACTCCACAGACGGCTACTTTCATTTCAGTCAGGTTTCAACAGGTATTCAAACCAAATAATTTGTAGCATTATAACCTGCTAAATATCTTTTGATGGTTTTTATCAGAGGAACAGCAACCATGAAGGTTGGCTTCACTTAAGGTTACTAGTTCAAGCTCACTTAAGCTTATAAGGCTTGTCCTTCTTTCTTCAGAGGTTTCCTCAGCCACATGCACATTTAACTTCTGTAGTTTTCAAATAAACAGAAAAATCATTGTGCCTCCCTAAGCCTCCGATATGTTACACAGATATTGCACTATTCAGGATATTTGAAGTTCAGCTAGTGCATGGTCTAAAACTCAATATCACTAACTTAGGTCTTTTTTTTTTTTTTTTCTCTCCTTCCTGGTAAACTGGCCCCTTTTCCTCCTTAAACTAAACTCTCTGGTAAAGAAGTATACTAATGTTATTCTGAAACCAGGCAGCACTATATTGTCCTCTCTCACCCACTGTATCTAACTCCACTTATACTGCAGTTTTGAAGAATCATCCAGCAATGCCCTGCTGGGGGGGAAAAAAAAAAAAAAAAGAAAAAAAAAAAAGACCTCTTTTCTCTGCAACCCCATCTAGCCAGTATGAACAATTCCTTTTAAATTAGTCACAGGAGATGTTTGAATATAGCTGACCATATAGCAGCTACCCAGTCATCTTCAACAATTTGCAGCAAGTAAACGCATTCTTGCAACATGTTATTTAATATTACTTCTGACTGACAATGCAGCCTTGCATCCTGCATTCTTCATATTTAATTCTCCATAAAATAAAAAGTGCATGAATGTCTGGCTTTACAGGCTCTAAAGATATACTACTTCAGAAAGCTCCGGGAACAGTGGTTATTTTTTCATTGCTTAACAAGCCCCCTCCCCCTTTCAACCCTAAACCAGTGGAGGGAAATAATACATGTCAATTAATGTTGCTAAAGGTTTAATGGTTCATTCACTTCCATAACACATTCAACACCAAATTCCATCAGTACACATCTTTGAAGATGAAAAAAGATAGATTTGTAAACATAAAGCTAGATGATTCATCTATTAACACTAATATTAAAGAAAGAAAAAAAAAAACACACACACACACACCACTATTTCCACTTGAAATGCAGAGAAAATTTGTTTATATAAAAAAAAGATCATCACAAAATGAATGAAGAGGAGGAGAATCATCTAAGTATCTTCATAGGTGTAAGCAAGACAGTTGCTTTATAGATAATTTGGTGGAGTCAAACTGAGAAGTCAAACAATCTCACCAAAAACAAGACCAAAACAGATACAAAAAAATGACCCTGTGCAGAGTTCTGGTAAGCAGAAGTCTGTCTATAAGTGAAAACCTTAATTTATTTAACGAACTATTACTTTTATTGCCTATTTCCTCAAGAACACTACATTCTCTCCAATTATTGAGAGACATGATGCTCTTTCAGAAGTCATACATTTTGCAGCTTGTTGTCAAATCTCAGCAACTCAAACTTATCGGAGATGTGATGAGTGAAATATATTATACTATACATCAATTTCTATGTCTAACTCCATGGCTATTCCTTCTCACAGATATTTATTAATGAGAGTTCTAAAGGGAATTCAGAAATGAGAAAATAATTCCTTCTGAATAGTGTGGAATAGATCAGTTCTGCTCCAAATGTAATTAAATTTTTACCATTAACTTCAGTAAAATGAAGTACAGCAAAACACAAAACAGTATTTTTTGTTCTATCAAACTGACAAAGAGTGGATTGTAATCAATTTTTAAAGGGACTTAGCTTTGGATCTTATGTAAAAATCAATTTTGCAAGCAGTTTTTTTAATCAGTTAGCTGAATCTCAGATTTTTACAACTTCAGTTGGAGCATGAAAGTTCAAACACAAAAGAAGAGACAAGTAGAATATGCAAGTCACCAAAAGAAAAATTGAGAGCTTCTTTTCAGAATTAGTAACTTTTTTGTTCTTCTACTCTGCAGGAAAAAGAAAAATATATAATTTTTTTTTCCAGAATATTTAAGGTAGGACAAGACACTTCCAAAACTTAATTAATAGGTGACTTGTTCATGTGAGATTTCTGATAGCAAACAGGTGTTTGGCAGAAAAGAAAATAATAATAATAAAAAAAGAATAACTAACAATCATCATCTGGTCATTAGTCATTCCAAAAACTGAAAAGAAAACCTAAATTTATGTAGCTCTACTACCTAGATTAATTTTGATTAAAACAATTATGCAATAAAACAAGAAAATACCTTTAAGTAACATTATTTAATGCCATGGTTTTTAAATTCTCTTGCAGTTGTTTCTAATACACTCAACATACTTTTTAATATAGATTTTTTAAATTGAAACATGACTTTATACAATTTATATGGAATTTTAGGTCTTTCATGAATGCATAAAAAAGAGAACTACCCTCCTAAGCTGAATTCACAGTCTGAAAGATCCATAGTTTATTTTGGCACTTTTAAATACTGTTGCAACTTCCAAGAAGTTTATTCAGAACAGTCTGAATCAAATAATCTTGCTTTAAAAATGCCACTGATTTAAGAAAGACTTCTTAATTTGTATTTGTCATTCACTTCTTAATTTGTATTTCTCAGTGATATTTTATTTTCTTTAATTTACCTGATATATATATGCAAGGTGATCTTGACTTTTTGTTTTTGTCCCCACAATTTTAATTCTAAAAGATAACCTCTTGTATTGTATAAATAAACAAATCGATTTTAGTCAACTTTAACTGACTTTGTGAGACTTGCTTCCCAAACCTCTAAAATCCTTACTGTAAGCAGCTATTTCTTATTACCAACTAAAAACAATCTCAATCACCCATATACTTTATCTTACATGCATTACTGCATCATTATTCAGTGAATAGTAACCTACGACACTGCAAGAAAATAACTTTTGTACTGTTACTGTAAACTCATGGGAAATTTTGGCCACAAAATAGCAATACGTTTTCCTTGCACAGAGGTCTTTAGTGGGTCAACGAGATAACACCAAGTGCACCAAGATATATTTTAAGAACTAATATTTCTATTTGGCAGTATTCTTATCAATGACAACACAAATGCACATTAATCCCTGTTCTGAGTCATTTCTTATAAGGTCAGTACTAGCAGATGTTCACAGGAAAGTCTATACTTCCACATAATATGCATAATTTAAGGCTCTTTGCATTCATGTGAAGTACTCTTGATTTTTTCCATTGCCATTTTGAGGCTGAGCACTGCTGTGTTTAGAAGATAAAATTAATATTGTGTCTGTACACTGAGATTCAGAGCTAAGGTAAGGTTTTCAGTATTACAGCAGTATAGATTTACAGAAAACTTATGACAAAAATGATTAACCCTCTGTCCCTCAAAAAGAATCACTTACACTTCCATATGTTCTTAATTCTTACTGAGGATAGGCAAAATATGGTAACATGAAAATTACTACAGCTGCTTGATCTGTAAGCAAAATAAGCAATATGAGAAAGCAATAATGCTTTCTGACCACCTAATGAATTGCACTGAAGTTACATGAAATTCTTTTTAGGAGAACCAATGATGAACTTATTGGCTCTTCCCTATACCTGCCGCTGTAATTTAACATTCATTAACAAACACCTAAACTAGAGTGCTATTGAACAAAAGTACAGTCTGTGCAGTTGCAAACATTTTTCAACTCTCCTATCAAATTGTATTAAAGAACTGCTCGGTTTGAATCTTAATGGGATGATCTTTCCATTGCCTTCTGTTCCACAAGGTAATGTAGCTACTGGTTGCCATATTGTGACAGAAGCTAACTTTCCAGAACATATTTGCTCTATTGATTCTTGTCCTCTGAATTATAATGTGTCCCCACTAAAATTAACTATATACAAAGACACTTTTTGTGTAACATGGAATAATAGAACAAAAAGAAATCCTACCTTTATACTTAATCCAAATCCTCCTACAGTCTGTCTTCTAATTGTTACTGTTCTTTCCTAAAAAAAAAAAAAAAAAAAAAAAAAAAAAAAAAAAGTTAAATTTGATTAGAATTAGAGTGGGTTTTTTTGTCCTTTTTTTCCCATAACATCCACATTCACACTTCATTAAGTTGCTCTGTGCTACCCTCTTACATTGATTTTTCTTTTTATAATAAACCTGTGAATTCCTGAATGCAAAAATCCCATGAAACCTATGATGCAGGGGGTAAATGACACAGTCCAGAAGAAAAGCAGATGTTATCTCAGACAACAATGAGTTTGTTCAGTTCATACAATACTGTCTGTGTGTGCACTACTGTACTGCAGCCAGTACAGCAGTGCAATAAGAAGATATGTAGAGTTAAACTGTTAGTGCAGGACACATCATCCAAAACAGATGCATTTCAGAGATCTTACTTAACTGGCAGTAAATTGGCCCCACAGGCAGACTGGACACTAAATGCTTAAGTATGTAAACTGCATTTCTGGAATGCAATTTCCAATTTTCCAATCTAGTTTCATCCAAAAGAAATACAGTTTGCATACTCCAACACCAGTCAGTGACACGAGAAAAGCAAGATTAGTGCAGATGATCCAGAAACTCATTTCAAGACACATTCCTGATCAAAATTAAGAGACTAATGTAAACGTGGTCTCTGTTGACCTCACAGATATGGTTTAAAAATCACAACCAAGTCATAAAGGCTATTGTTATGGGCAGAGTTATTTAAAACAGATTTTTTTTCTTTTATTGCTTATTCTTAAAATTTTTGTGTAAAAAACAGGCTGGTGTCTATCTTAGATATGAACATTAAAAAAAAGACCTTTTTTTCCTAGTCCTTCTTGTTCGTCTTGTTGACTTTATTCCCAAGGATCATTTAGTAATCATTTAGTAGTAGTGAGCTTGGATAGCAGTAAAAAAAAAAAAAAAAAAAAAAAAAAAAAGTAGAAAGTAGTAGTAGGTATGCACATATACCATATGCCCAGGCAAAAATATGTGGAATAGATAGATTTTATTTTATTTATTTATTTATTTATTTTGTTCTGGATATGTGGCCTGGATTTTATATAATTTTCAATATGGAGAATTGCATAGCATAAGTCTAAATATGTATTTTATACAATATATGTCCATACATTTCAGCCCAATCAGCATGGATTGCCAGCACCCTTCAGATTTGCATAAATACAGAAATATACTGTCAGTGTTATTTACTACATTAAGGCTTGGATCATAGTTCATTCCATATGGCTTTTGAGGAATGTAAGAAGCATAAGGATGCATAAGGTATTCTTCTGGTTCATATGAGAAACCTGTCAGCAAGAAGAAGCCTGAAAGCTTTACAGACCTATTTTTCCTTCATATGCAAAATGGAAAAGAAAAGAGGCAGGGGCACCAACTAAGAGTTTTGGAAAATGGAATTGTTACCTTTGAGGGAAAATGCAGTTTCTTCCTTCTTTTTCACATTTGTTACAAATATGAATTGAGTAGCTGCAGAAAGAGCAAGTATAAACCTGTGCAGTGTTTTGGGTTGCAACACGAAACCAGCTGCCTAAAATAAGACTTTATGTTTAATTATTTATGTTAATATTTGTAAATGTTTTTTTTTTTTCTATTTTTTTTGCTTCTACAAGAAGCAAAATTTTTCAAATTTTTAATGTACTGAAATGCATGAACAAATTATACTCTTGCATTGCCAGCAGATATATAGGGACAAGAGAAGTGGTTATTTTAGGAACATGGTTTAGTGGGCGACATTGGTAATTGGTTGATGGTTGGACCAGATGATCTTGGAGGTCTTTTCCAACCCTAATGATTCTGTGATTTGTAACCTGAACAACTGAATGCACAGCATGGCAATAGAGGAATATATGGCTTATTGTTCCATAAATGTGCATCTACACTGTGCAGAGGGTCCAGAAGAGCCTTCCCAGCTCTCCTCTCAAACAATCTAGGAATTTTTATGATGGCATTCCCAGAAACTGAGTTCAGTCCACAAAGCTACTTGAGTTCATAGCATTAATTGCACTCAGAAAACCTTTTGTCTGCCAGGAGGTTTCACCCACAGCTAATACTGCAGACAATATATTATGGATAAACTCATAGGCTACAGTTTAATTTTTGGTCTAAACTGAGCTTACACATAAGATCTTGAATCAATCAGCTGTGGCTCTGTTGATGGCAGTATTTTTTCTGTTAGCTTCCCCTCATTTCCACTTCTATCTTTTGTTGGATATGCAGTTAAGAACAAAAGCTTGCGTAGTATATTCTAATCAATGCGTGATAACTTTTTTTTAATATATGTTCAAATCAAACAAAATACTCGTGTTACTTAATAAGACGCTGAAAAATAACAACCTGTTTAGGTTAAACTGGCATAATAGCTAGCATTAAGGTAAGCTGGCATAGTACTATTATATTACCTATGCATGGAAGAAAGCATATCACACTCCACAAATTACAAATTAAGCACTATGCTAACTGAAGAACATGAATCGTCATAAAAATTTGTAGCTCATTATCACTGTTAAGTGTAAATAGTGGCACCTGAATATATTCTAAGCTATAGCTATGCCTTCTAAAAAGCCTAAGAGAAAGCTGCCTGCAAATCATTTTTTTGTTGTTGTTCTCTTGCTTAGCACAACACACACAAAGGTACCCATATAAAAGAGTCAATAAAATATTCTTTCTGGTTTTTACTCAAGCTAAGGCAGATCAAAGCAAACCATGGAAACACTTGAATTTTTTATTTATTTATTTGTTTTATTACTGAGAGAGGAAAAAAAAAAGAGTTTGCCAGGCCAGCTGACAGAAAACTAGAAATATTTTGCACTGGAGCCTAGCATTACGTTTTAAGAGGAAGAAATACATATTTCAAAAATGCTTTACCAATACAGAAGATTACTAACTAGACAAAGCTGTGTAAGAGTAAGCAAATGGAACAGACTGAAAAAAAAATTACGCAACTGTAACTTTATAGCAAAATGCAGTTTTTCAGTGGATTTCACATGGTATTTTTTCTAGGTTCTTTTCTAGCTCCACGGAGAGTGAATATTAAATATTTCAGGTTTGGACTGTTACTGAACTGAATTGAACATACTGCAAATTAAATCCACTCTAGTTATGTGTTACATGTAAGGCTTTGGTTTGTATTTGTATTGTATGTAACCTAGGTTAATTCAACACACTTCCCAGACCTACAACAAAGTATATTACTTTGTTGTATTTTACATGTAAGGACTTCCACACTCTACATAACACAATAGCTAACAAATACAAACAATTAACAACCTCCAAAATCAGAATTACCTACAAATTACATATTTCATTACTAAATCATCAGTAATCTGCGACTACAAACCTCACATAAATAATATAGTGAAACAGCTTTTCCAGAACTGTCAGAAGTATCAACACATTTCATACATCCAAAATCTTGGCATTGGATCAGACCCTGACTCTGATCAGCTTTTCTTCTTTTAACCAAAATATTGTAAGAAAAATAATAGGACTCATCTAATCAAAGTTAAGTCATATAAAACTCAGGCAGAGGTCAAAGCTAGTTTTCTCCTGTAATCAATACAGAAAAATAGATATATTCAACCTAGATGAGTCTAAGCAAGTGCCCAAGTTAGACAGTAATCATCTTCATCATCTATGTCCTCCATTGAGTATAGAGCCAAGACGTCAATTTTGACTTTGGAAAGATCACCCTCCCATTTACAGTTGGCAAAGTAACTTGAGTAAGTATTTTGATAGTAGATAACAATTTTGAAAGGTTTTTGTCAGAAAACTCTTTTATCTGAATAAGGTTTCTTTTGCAGTATGTTACTTGTGATAAATCTAAACCAAGCTTCATTTTTCAGTGCCATCCTTAGCCAAGGTGAACTGAAAAAAAAAATCTCATCTACAACACACCGTGTTTTTATGTGAAATATGATGATTAATATAACAAAGAATTCTGACCAGTAAACTGAAAAAATAATAATAAAAGAATGTTCTGATGCCTTTAATTAGCATTTCAAATGAACAATAAGAATAATAAATTTCACTAGTCTAACAGCTTTCTAAGTTCTTACATGCCTTACAGTTATTAATTAATAAAATATAATGACAACTCTAGAAGGCAACACATTTTTTTTTAATAGTAAAGAAGCACTCTACATATCTCAATACACCACTTATGTTGTTCTAGCTTAAAGTCGGTCCTGCTCCATTGATTCCAATTATGTGCTTAAAACAAAATCTAACTGAAAGTCTACATCAGATGTAGACTTGTCTATTAATATTTTACTTAATTTAGCCTTCCCTTCTTTATTTACAAGGGTAACATTCTACAATTAAGTTTGCATTGGTTTTCCAGCTTCCCAAAACAACGCCATCTCCAAGTTTTCACAAATAAAACTTGATTCTGATGAAAATCTACTTAGTTTGATATTAAGATTAAATAACATCCTGTTAGCTTGTAATTTCATTATCACATTTGTTAGCTATGTTATACTAAATAGAGTCAGAGCTCCTAGGATCTTTAAAAACAGGATTCAGAGGAGTGTTTTAGAAACTGCTTCCTGGAACAGAAAAAAAGTAGTTATCATTTTACTGAAAAACTCAAAACTGCTGCCAAGCTGTCAGCACTTTCCATGCTGTAACTCAGAAAATTCCTCATCCACACATGTTTTCACTGACTAGAAAAGAGAGCTAAGAGTTTTGCCAAAAATCTTTTTCCTATGAGATCTGTGCAGTGGAACAGAAAAGCAATATTTTTTAGGCTTCCATTAAGGATATATAAATATTTCTCATTAAACAGCAGTATGATATTCTTGAGATCACCAACATCATCTTAAATGAGATTAGAAGTGAAGAATGACCTCGTGAGCATGTACCAACAGTAAATAAACAGGAAAGGAGGTACAGAATCCTATGTAATCATTAGTTACATACAGACAGGAAACAAGAACTCTGCTTTTACAGTGGATGAACAGACACCAAGGTACTGTATATATACATGGAACAACAT